TGACCATGGTTAAGGTCTAAAATCCCAGAAGCGAGAGAATTGAAATTCAATTACAGTCAAATCAAGGTGGAATTAGTTTTAAATCAAACAAGTAATCAACATGACTTAGGGAATCTAGAGCGAAGAGATCAGAGATATGAAGAAGCAAAAACTTTCACGGTTCATCTAGCAAGAGAGAGGCATTATCAAAGACACTCACAAGATGCTCTACAGAAAACCTATGCAATGTATTGTTATATAATGTAAATGGAAATGCAGACCTGCTATGCTGTAGACTCAATCTTATATGAAAAGAAAACAAAAAGATGTAGAAGGGATGAGACTAAATGCATGTTCTTTTTGTTTTTGAAAATTTTTAATGCAACGCAGGGAAATGCATAGATGGAGGACACTTATGAATATGCAAAGAAGAAAGGGGCAAAAGAAACAACTGTGCATTAGCGACAATTAGTGTGTGTTTGTGTATTCTATAACTACTCCCCCAAACTTGTCACTCATTGTCCCAGTGAGACAGAGTAGAGAAGGAAGAAGTTACAGAACACAACAATGCACACACTAATGAGAAAAACATAAGTAAATTAAAGCTAAAGAAGCAGAGCTATTTACAAGGAAAGGTGGTACCTTAGTTGTATTGAGGAGAGGAACCGGATGTGGACCCCGGAGTGAAGTCAGGATGATAAGTGAGACGCAGCAGTTCCTCTGTTGCCTTATTGGATTCTTCGTCCATTGTAAAAGCTGGTGAGATACCCAGTTTCTCCTCAATGACTTTCAGAAGCGCATCATTCCTTATGTTGACGCGTTGTTGGATCAAATAGGCCGAGTGGAGGAACTGCTGTTTAAAGCCACAAGGCTCAAATGGAATGTCAGGTATATTCCGAGAGTATGGGTCAGGCATAGGTTGAGGTTTCTCAAAGGTCTTTTTCTGCGACTTTGGCGGGGGACATTCCAGGAGCTGATGATCAAAGAGGATGTTATCTGGGTGATCAAAGGCGGTGAGTTGCTTGTTTAGGAGCCGGAGGGAGAAGAACTTGTCCGGATATGACCTGAAGATATACTCGAAGTGCTCTCCGACTTCATCACGTAGCCTCTGCAGGATCATGCATTTGCTCAGATAATCCTCTCCAACGTAGTCTATTCTGCTATCATGGTCGCACCGACTCAAATCGGCATTGGCAGCAGAGAAAATAGGATGGAGGATAGTGCTGTAGTAAAGGTCAGGGTTAGGGGTATTCTTGGCCCATGTCCTGACCCTGTTTAACTTCCTAAGGAAGACGCACCCCAGGTTGGCATCACTGAAGTCGGAAGTAAAACGCTCTCCATTCTTCTTCCTTATGAAACCTTTAACTCCTTGAAATAAGAAGGCCAACTCATCGGACTTTAACCTAGTTGGTGTCATACCTTGCAAAGATTGTGTTCCCCAGCAGCTTCTGAGCAATTCTGAGTGCATGATTTTTGATCAGAGTGCCCTCAGTAGCACCATCTTTGTAAGGGCCACTGCCAATTAAAGCCAAAAAATCAACGGCTTCATGGAAGGATGGAAAGTCCTACAAAGGACCATCATTGAAATTGTAGGCTTTGCAGACTTCAGAGACAGATATTGTGTGTAACTGTTCTTCAATCTTGAATGTGAGCTGGCCTTGACTTGGCTTCTTCTCTCTTGGTCTGGTGTAGCGAAATTCCATTGTAGTAAAGAATTTCTTCACAGTAGTCTTGTAATGAAACTCCTGATAATTGAAGAAAAACCCTAACCCCATGTTTTTCATCACCATCTCCAGATCTTCATAAAGCCCCAATTTTTTCATAAATCTACGGTGAACAAGCTTAGAGGGGAGAACCTTTACTCAAGCAAGCCTAGACTACTCCTCATTTTCTTCGTCTGTCCAAGCCTGCGGGATCTCTGATGGTATTTCCTCAGGTTCAACAGAGCTGTCGATCTGAGGTTCCGGTGCTTTCCTCTTTCTGGTCTTTTACCGGAGAGGTTCTTTTCCTTGTTGAGTGGATGCATCTCTTATTCTCTGTGCAGATTTCTCTTTTAAAGACTTCTTCGACGACAATCCTGCGGAGTGCTTCCCTTTTGAAGTTCCATCCTTGCATGGCTTCCGCTTATCGGTCATTGTAGTGCCTTGATAAATCCTGAAGAAACAGAAAGAAGTATGTGAACTTGAATAAGAAACCCAAACTTTTTATAACTTGAATAGTGTGACAGCGGCGAGATGAAAATGTCAGATTCAATTATCAAAGCCTTAGGTTCTCGGTGGATTCGAGATTGTGAGCTGTGGGATTTCCGTAGAATGAGAATGAAAGAAGGGAGAAATGAAAGCAGGGATAGAAAAGGCGGGCTAAGACCGTAAAATCACACCATAATACGGCATGAGATAACTGAAACAAACCGAAAAAAATAAATAAGCTAAAAGATGAGGATAAAACCCGGTTTATGGGGACTGGCTCCCTCAATTATTCGGTTTCATTTGGTCGGAGCCCGGATTAATTTAGTATGACATCGTTACACACCGACCTCGTACTTATGATTTAGTCCCCTTCTCAGCAACGTAACCCATCGGTTAGACCCATCGGTTAGACCCATCGGTCAGAACTGGTGACCAATGTAAAGTGAAACCTCTGTCTAATCTCCTTATCATTCTCCCCCTTCAGACCATGAAACTCTTTCAAAATCCGCTGCTGGAGGATGGTAAGGGAGGGAT